CTGGTCCTGAAGGGATCATCCACCCTGGATTCCCTGTGATTACAGTTCCCATTTGTACCACTGTACATCTTCTGGTCTAGCCAGACTTGCAAGGTAGAATTCGGATCATGATGGGGGGCAGGGGTGGGGGAGGAAGCATTTAGGAACTAGAGGAAAGTTGCTACATCATACCCTGACTGGCTCGTCTCCTTCCAGAGACCTCTCAATGTGACATATTTTAATTAATATGTTTATCAAACTTTTCTCCCTAGAGCTGACTTGGCTAACCCGGATCAGTCGGGCTGATTTGGTCAGGGGGACTGGGCTGAGACTTACTGATTTGTCAGGTTAAACATCGAACAGGGTAAGACGTGAAAAAACAATTAATTTATAAATTATCAAGGATTCTTGAGAGGGGGAGGGCGGGGAAAGGAAAGGAAATAAATGAGCTGATACCAAGGGCTCAAGTCGAAAGAAAACGTTTTGAGAATGAGGATGGCAACAATGTACAAATGTGCTTAACACAATGGAGAGATGGATTGTGATAAGAGTTGCACGGGTCCCCAATAAAATGATTAAACAAAAATAAAATAAAATCATGACTATATCCCTAGGGGAAATAGTAAAAAAAAAAAAAAAAAACTAAAGAAAACTTTCTGCAGAATACAAACCTATTTTGAAGTCGCTTTCAGGAGCGCAGGTACCTTTTATGTTGCAAACAAGCAATCAACAAAGGTGTGTGCGGGAGGGGACCAGGCAGTCTTGGAGCGTGGCTCTTCGAGACCCCCCAGGGCGGAGGAGGGCTCCTGACGATCTCAAGGGATAAAACCATTACTGCAGAGAGCCTCCCGAGGAGCGGCCTTCGACCTGCCCACCCTTCGCAGGAGGGCCGGCATCGCCCCGCGGGCCCACCCGAGTCCCCAGGAGAAGGTGTCCCACGCAGGCTTACGGGCGCCTTCTGGAGTTGGGCGGCCCGGCTCGCGCGCGCGGCCCGGCGGCCCGGCGGCCCGGGGCGTGGTTGCTGGCGCGGCCCGGGAGCAGTTGTCACCGGGATTGCCCTCAGACTGGGGAGTTTCACGTTTCTGGGGACTTGTTCCCGCGCCTCCAGGGAAGGACGCCACGTCGCCGGCGCCTCTGGGGCGTCGGGTCGCCCCCCGGCCACACTCCGGCTGGCTCGGTGCGCGGTGAACGGGGAGGCTTTCCTGGTTTCCTCGTCCACCGGAGCGACGGCGCGCGGACGGGAGCCCCGCCGAATCCAAGCTCCGTCCGGGACTCCCGTGTCGGGAGGCCGCTCCGCGGGGCGCCTTCCTCGCGGGGCGCCGCCCGGCGGAGGCGCCCCGGCTCCCCGCCCCCGACGCGGCGCTGCCGGGCTCCCCCTAGCGGCCGCCGCGCGGCGCTGCCCCGTCCCAGGCTCGTCGGCGCCGCAGCTCACGTGACCGCGCTCCGGGCCTGCGGCCACTGTCGGTTCCCCCAGTCACCGAGCAAGAGGGAAGAAACAAGATGGCGGCTGAAGGCGATCCGGAGTGGGGCCCCAGCAATTCGGATTGAGCCGGCTCCCTCCACCCGCTTCCGCCGGCCGGGC